AAAAAAAATCTCTGTTTCGCTATATCTGACGAAGGTATAGTAACTTGGTGTTACGTTACATACTCTATAGAATTATATTTAAATTGTCTCTGTTTTCTCATATTTTTACTGATGGGGCTCCTCATATGTTTCTTTCCTCCTGTTCTTTTTTTGTTTTGCTGTGGGGTTTGTCTTGCTTTCAGTGCCTCTCTGTGTGTCTTCCCATTAGTAAGGAAATGGCTACACCTAAAGAAAGTGCTAATGCCTTTTTGACTCAGGCATGCTGTGGTACTATTATGGCTCTCCACCGCGTGGGTAACACAGAACCGGAGTTTTACAAGGATCAACTTGTCGTTTTATTGACGCAGTACCTCAACAACTGTTGGAATTCGCTTCTTAAGAAGGCTGATCCATACGTGGAAGAGNATCAACTTGTCGTTTTATTGACGCAGTACCTCAACAACTGTTGGAATTCGCTTCTTAAGAAGGCTGATCCATACGTGGAAGAGTCGTTTGCCTTGATGCTGCATGACAAGCCTGCTTGTGTTTTAAAGAAACTGTTTGCTCTCGGAGCACATGTTCTTCCCGATAGGCCACCGGCACAGCTTTCTCAGTATGCACCTAACAATCCGGAGCAACTTGAGGCTGCACGCCTCTTTGTATCCAACTTGTTACATGCAGCTTTTGCCTCGGAAATTCCCGAAGACATTTTTCAGCATGACTGCGAGGGTTTATCGTTGGGTGAAGAAAGGGCTCTGTGGAAGGAACGCGGATGCCCAGAAGAAGCTTTCTTTGTACTTTCTTGAATTCAGTAGGGCGGAAATTTTGTTTGTTTTTTGTTTGTGCTTGTTCATCTATTGTCTTTCTTCGATGTGATTATAAAAAAAAAACCTTAGAGCGAAATGGCTGCTTGGCGGGGGAAGGAACTCCTGACTATGTAGCTGCCATCAGTAAAAAAAAGATATTCTCTTTTTTCCTTACAGCTTTCCCCATTTTTCTTTTTCTTTCCTTCCTTTCTTCAGCTCTTCTTTTGTTTTTTTTTTTTCTTGGAAGGAGAAAAAAGGGGGGAGTCAAAATGCATCCATTTGTTTCAGGTAACTCTGCCAACGACCGGCATGAAGTTCAGGGGGCCCCAAGTGACTGCGTGAGTTCTGTTCGTTTTTCACCTCCTGGGTGCCCGCTTCTTCTTCTTGGCGTTACGTCATGGGACAAGTCCTGTCGTGTGTGGCAGGTGAACAGTCGGGCGGATGGGACAGATATACAGTCCCGACCAATGACATTCGCAGAAAACGATGCACCAATATTGGATATGTCGTTTTCAGCTGATGGTAGAGCTTTCTGGGGCGGATGTAGTAAAACGGCGACAATGTGGAATTTGACAACAAACCAAAAGACTATTGTTGCATCTCATGATCTTCCTATAAGTTGTGTAGCGTACGTTAGTCCCGGTATATGCTCGGAAATGCTTATTACCGGAAGTTGGGATGGGAAATTGCGCTTTTGGGATCTTCGACAACAACGACCAGCAAAGGAAGAAAACTTTGGCGAGCCTGTGTTTGCGTTGGATGCACAAAGAAGTCTTCCTATGGCTGCTTGTGTGACTGGTCGAAAGGCTCACGTATTTAACCTTCAAACCCTTGTAAAGACTAATGAGGTTAGACCACCGGCGTTGGTAAAGTTTAACTTGAGGTGCGTTTCGTGCTCTCCACAAAAAGATGGAGTGGCTGTGGGAAGTTCGGAAGGAAGGGTTTCGTTCATTCCTTTGCGATCTGACACAGGCTGCACCTTCAAGGCTCATATAGTGTTCGATGATGCTGCAATGTTTATGTATCAAACAAACTTTTGTGTCATGAGTCCTACAGCGCCTCATATCATCACAGGTGGCAGCGATGGCCGGATTGCCTACTGGGACTACAAGAAACGAGTCAATATAGGCTTTTCTGAAGCAGCTCCAGCTATGGAGGATCGGAACAAGTCGATTTCTGCTGGTGACATTAGCTCCGACGGTAGATTGCTTGCGTATGCTCGTAGCTACGATTGGTCGATGGGTAAATCTCATTGCATTGCCAACGAGCCCCACAACATTTACATACGCAATGCGGCGGATCCGAAAATTCTGGGATTAAAGTAGAGAGCGAAAAAAAAAAAAGAAAAAAAAAAATGATCTGTCGTGGTGTTTTTGGGGTAACGCTCTTGTCATTCACATTAGTGTTCTTTTTTTTGTCGCGGACCATTTGGTTTGCCTTTGTTCTTGGTCTTTTTTTTTCGACTCCACGCTCTACTTCAAGCGAATAAAGTAATCATGGGTCAAGCTACCAAGCAAACGAGGAAAAAACACATCTACGGGTACGATTTATACAGCGAGGATGTCCGCCAATACTCCAGTTTGAGCGATATCAGGACCGTGAAGTCTGCTGTGGCAAATAATATACGTGATTACTTGTGCCATACGGACGCGTTCGAGGTAACCCCAAATTGCGATAAAAATACAATCCTGTATTATGTACTGGTCTCAATATCTTCTCTTATTGCAATTACCTTGTTTCTGGGAAAAGATGTGCTAAAGTTGTACGACTGGATTACCTACACACTTCTTGGCATATGTGCTATTTGTTGCCCACTGGCGTACTTGTGCGACTTTGGGCAGGATGCGGAGAGTGTGGCATTTCTTGGTACCGGATCTCCTCTACATGGGGTTGAGTTACACAACAAGGATTATATTCGCGTACTGAAGGGACGCCGGCTTTGCGTTCGCGTTCGAGAGGTTCCCAATTCATCAAAACTGTCTATTGAGGCACAGTTGGTTGGGCCCGCGCGTTTGTTTGCTGCCCCCTGTGTTTACTTCTCTGTTTCCAGGGAGGCGCCGTACGGCAGGTATTTTAGCAAAGATGGATATTTCTTTCCACCGGCGTTGGTGGAGGATGTTGAAATACTGTTGAAGTCGCTGAGGACTGCCCTGTTGAAAAAGAAGCAATAGCCCCACGCACTGTGCTTCATTTATTACGAAAAAAAAGAACTGCGCTCGTTGGTGGTCCTTTTTTGCTATTGGGAGCGATGAAATTCATGCTTTGTGGCTGTAAAGTAAAAAAAAAATGTTTTGTTTTGTTCTTCTGGTCTTGCCATTTTTTATTTTTTTACTTTGTCCTGTAGCTAAACAAAAGAAAAGGAAGCTGAGGGTTTTTTCTTCAAAATGGTGTCCGTAAACGCGGTCCGTTATGTCGGTTACGTTGGTGCCGCGGCAAACTGGCTTATACCTATTGCCGGTATAATGAATTTTCCTACCCGGAAGCCCAGTGAGATTGACCCTGTAATGACAACAGTTCTCGGAACGTACAGCGCCATTTTTGTTCGGTGGGCTATCGCCATTTTGCCAGCCAACTACCCATTGTGTCTTTGCCATCTTACGAATAGCACTGTGCAGTTCGCGACTCTTGTGCGCTATGCCCTTGGAGACAAGAAAAATCCGGCTCTCAAGAATGAATAAATGTGTTTCATGCATCCGTTCCACAAAAGGGATTACTAGGATAGTGATCGCATCATATTTTTTTTTGACACTCTGAAGGATATTTCTCGCCTACCAAAAAGATGGGCGTTTGCCCTTCTTACGGCCTAAAGAAAGGCCTTTTTTGTGCAAGTCAGCTGCAATATATAATTGTTCAGTCATGCAAATGCCTCCATTGACGATTGGTCGTCAGAACAGTCGGTGTGCTATCATCTCTTTTTTTCATAATTCTGATCTGTCATCATGCTTGTTTGCCAGTGTTCAGAAGCTTTGTTGTACGTAGATGAGTGATACTCAACAATTGCGGGCCCGTCGGCGGTATCGCGCTTTACTCCGAGAGGCGCAGAACTTGGAGCTGCAAGGCCGGACAGATGAGAAGCTTACCGTTGAACTTCAGCGGCTAGAGCAAGAGTTCCCAATGCTGAGGGAAAGAGTAGGGCCGGCGGAAGATGGGTCGAAGACGGAGAATGATGCGCCGCAAACAGAGGACGTATCCAAACAGCTACCTGTTGCTGCGGCGCCTTCAAGTGGTGCACCTTCGGGTACAGAGTCATTGGCCAAGCAATGTGCTGAGCAGTCTGCGGCCCCACCTCCATATCGTTCTGCACTCCCAACAAGACATACAAACGGTGATTATGGAACCAAAAAACGGAATAATGATCCGTCTACTGTTGGCTGCACTGGTTTTTTCTGCTGCGCTCTCAGTTTGTGGGGAGAGGCTCATTTACCTACATCATTCGGCGTTTTCTCGTACGCAAAGATTATGTTTTTCTCTATTCTGGCCGCCATCCTCCACCGCTACGTCGTTGATCCATCCTCGACAGTGGGAAAAGCTATCTCACCTGTTCTAATTGGACTTTTGGTTCATGCCCAAGGCCTCATTGCGCTTCAGAGGAAGCGACCTGGGAGAATATCAATGACGATGCTGATAGTCTACTTCATTTTTGACGTGCTTCCATCGATAGTGCTTGTATTCGTAGTGTATGTCCTGACAACGATTGGTCTGGAGATGTTGAAGTAAAAGTTTATGTTACACGGGGTGTGGTGCTTGCAACATTCTCTAGGCAAAAAAAAAAAACGAAGCGAGAACAAAAGCAAAAAAAAAAATCACCGAACAAAATGAAAACAATGAATCGGAGTGAAAAAGTAGGAAAATATTTTTTTATATGTTTTATTCACGCTCGTGATATACGTCTGCGGATGCCTGTATCTGTCTGTGTGAAAAGTTGCAATGAAGACTTTTCTGCCCTGGGCACCCTTATTACGATACCGACAGATAGTACCCAAAGCTGCCGTTTCTTCTGTCTTGTTGTGAAAGCAAGGAAGCAAGCAGAAGGACGGGAAAATCTGCTGCCACCAACTCAATGGCGTCTGTGGAGGCGCTTCTACGTCTGCCCACGGACGAGGCGCGATCGTGCCCTCCTGTTGACACTCCAGAGGAGGTGTTAGACGCCCTCCGCCAGATGGAGACGATACTGCGCAAATGCCTCTACGCTGTGCGCTACGCGCTGGTGGACCCATTCACAGCTTTTCTTGACCTGTTGCTGCAGCTGACCCTTGCTGACTGCGAGCGTGTCGCACAGGCGCTGCTCGCGCCCGCCGAGGAAGGACGCTGCATTGACCTCCTGGCGAGCCTTTGTGGCACCCTTTTAATACCCGACAGTTACAACTTTCGCCACAGTATCAACATGGAGGCGTTCTTTGAATTTGTGCAGTTACTCTGCGCTTCACCGGTTCTAAAGGACCCACTTGGTGCGGCGCTGATGCCGTGCCTGCTGGCGTTTGTTTACGAGGCTGTGACATGTGAAGACGATTATCGGCAGCCTCGCGCAGGCGCAAGTTTGCTCATTACACTCATCCGCGGCTCCAAGGCAAACAAGAACCGTATGAGCATTGAGTGCGGCCGCATCGGGGAGGCACTGGCGAAGTCCAGCGACATATTTTTTCAAATGCAATGCGTGGAAGTTATGTTTCGCCTCTATACACATAACCGCACAGCGCTGTTAACGTCGACGCTGCCGGAGTTCTTCAAAAAGGGTGTCGCGGAACTTCCCAACGATGCGAGCCTTTTAACGAGCATTCAGTCTCTTCTTGACGTGTACAATGTGGAGTACCGAAATGTGTCTCTCCTACAATTTACGGCACTCCTTATTGAAGTGGGGAGCACCGAGGTATGCGGATGCACGAACATGTACTTCTCCCCGCTGATTCTTGTTATCATGCTGCCGGGGCGCATGGGCGACAACATCACCATTCCATATGAACACATTCGTTCCGTGAAGCTATCAAAGGAGCGGAAACTCGGCCTTCGACTTCATGTCATACCGGGAAAGCTTTCCAATATCATGAACGAGAAGAATGGAAGAGACACACTTATGATTTCTTTGACCCAATCAACGTTCAGTGCGTTGAGGTCATCCGGTGTCCATCAGTGGATCTCTGACAGAAAACGACGCGTTCCCTTCAGTCGTATTCATCAACAGATGGAGGCGGCTACAGCAGCAGCAGCAGCATCAGCAGCAGCACTGCCTACTTCCTCTTCGCGAAAAAACTCCCTTGCAGACACGGAGACATCTGGTAAGGATGAGAGTCATCTTGTCTCTATGCCTGTTTCAGGCCAGGCTTCAGCGCGTGGTTCCCCCAAGCGCGGAGGAGTCGACAATGATAATAAACCAAGACAGAATTCTCGCTCTGGGCCGTCCTCACCACAGAAAATGGAGAAGCAGCAGCCGCTCTCTGGGGAAGAGGAGAAAGAGGACGTTCTTCGCCAGCTGCGCGCGGCAGCCGCTCAAAAGGTTGCGCGAATGCGTCAGGACTGCCAAGCGGAACTGCAGTGTGCCGTTGACTTCATACAGGAGGAACTTGAGAAGATGCATCGGTGCAACGCTCGCGAGCGTGATGACTTTGAGGCCACTGTGCGTGAGGATCTCACAGCCATTCGACGCGCCGAGGCCCAAGTAAAGGCACACGCCGCTGAGCGTGTTCAGTCGCTCAACCAGGAGTTGACAGAGGTGCAGGCGCTTGGCGAAATGCTCAAGGGTGAAGTGAATAAACTCCGTGACTGCCTCGCCGCGACGCTACACCGCTCCGAGGCGGCAGAGGAGAACTCACTGGTGCGGCTTAAAACGGCAGTTGATGCAGACGTGAAGGCCATGGAGGAGACGCTGCTGCAGGTGATGTCGGCAACGAGTCCACTGTCCCTCGTGACCACGTACCTCTCACAGAAGGTTGGCGGCGCTGCCGCGTAGCGCGATGCCAGTTGTGGCGGCTGATAGAAGTCTATAGAGGTGCCCGCTGGCTCTGCGCTGGCGGAATAGATAAGCTGCGTGGGCTTGCTTATCCACTCAACACCGGATATTTTGCAGAAAGCAAAAACGCCAATGAGAGGTGAAAAGAGAGAAAGAGAGCGGCAAGTATGAGGCTGCTGGTGGAATTTGCTGCGGCTATGTTGCTGCTCTCTGCTTGGTGTATGACACACTTCAAATGCGTTGTCCTTCTCTACGTTTCCCACCACTACTACCACCACTGTAAGCAGTAGCAGTAGCAGAAACAGAAGCACAGCGGGGGAAGAGGAGGGACTGTGCTAGCGAATGTCTAGCGTCCATGGAACGCTTCGCCGCTTGGAGCGATTAAATGCGGCATGTACTGGCAATCGAACTGCTGCATTGCAAACAGAAGGCGCATCGGCAACAACAACAGACGCAGTGAATGTCGATACCAGCCGCATGAGCGCTTATGACAAGGGCCAATATGAGATCGCTTGCTGCATGAAGAGAGTGCGTGAGAACATCGTGCGCATGGAAGACGCGGCGGACACGATGGACATTACACAGCGGGCGGAGGTGTCCAACTCCATTCGTCGTGACATGAGCAATATGAAAAAGAATGCCTACACATTGTATCGCGTGGCGGTGAAAGAAGGCAGGCGCGAGGATTACAACCAGTTAATGGCACATATTAACAAGACAGAGCAGCTCAAACGTGCGTCCTACGGCGGACAATTAACGGGCGATGTCATTGATCGTGAGGGAAGTGGCATTGGTGCTGCAGGGGCCAACACGTTCAACGCTGACAGCAGCGCAATGCACAGGTCTGGCGAGCCTCTCATGTCGGCACGCGACGACGAGGAGTTTGCGCTCTTCTTTGAGCAAACCAAGAAGCGCGATTTGGAGATGGATGATGCGCTCGACCGCATCGGGGTAGGATTAACGCGGCTTAACGAAAATGCTTTGTCGCTGCAGTCAGAGCTGTCAACACAGCAGCGACTGCTCGATGACACGGAGGTGAAGGTAGATGGCGTACACGTCAAGTTGACATCCATGAATGCACGTCTACGCAAGACATTGAAGGAGTTGGGTAAGGATCGCATAGCCATGTACGTGTTCTGCTGCATTCTCCTCATAGCCATTGCGGGGGGCATTTACTTTGCAGCGAAGTAAGGCGCGCACTTCTTCATGTGTGGGTGAGTGCAGGTATGGGCACGGCATGAACTATGCGTGCGGGCGAGACGGAGACAGCATCAGTGAATGGGGTGGCGTCCTTCCTCTTTCATCCACCGCGCTTCGGTCTGACAGCAACGACAGCACGCACTGCAAGCCATTTCATCTTTTAGTCTCTGTACAGTTCCTGTGTTTGCCGTTTATATCTTGTGTTGGTTGTGCTGGTGACACACCCCTCCCACAGGAGTGACAACGTAAAGATCTTTTTGCTCTACAACGTCTTGACGCGAAGAGTGCCTGCTCGCGGGGAGCGTGTTCTGCGACACGTCTCATCATCGTCTTTCCCGTTTCTTGACTTTTGCCGTGACGCACTGCAGAGAAGCTGTGCCGTGGAAGGCCCTCGTGAGAGGGACAGGCAGCTACGTGAGAAACTGAAGGGAAACACGACAAAACAAAATGCAACGGCGGCTGCCGCTGTGTGGCCCATTGTTGCCGGCGTCGGCGTTCTTACGCGTGCAGCGGCGCTGCTACTACGACAGGATCTGCAAAGACCGCGAGGGTAGCGATGACAGCCCGGCGGACATGTTTGACGAGTTCCCCAAGAACCCCGCCGCCAACAGCGTGCCAGAGGAGCTGCACACGGCGAGCACGGAGGCGGTGGGGGCTGCGGAGAACCTGCAGCGTTGGTTTTTGGTGGGGTCTACTGTATTGTTTCTCTCGTTGCACTTTAGTGGCTTCTTGGATCCGTTCAACGATGGCTACCAGCGACCAGAGGGGTACGGCACGCACGGTGGCGGGGGATGGAAGTAGCGAGCAGCAGCAGTAGTAGTGGTTGCAGTGCGGGCATGTCTCGTGCTGACGAGTGTACGGATGGTGCTGGGAAACAGAAACAGATATGTGAGCTCCCTCTTTCCCCCTTGCCTGTCTGTCTTTCTTTCTCTCTATGGTAATTGCTGTTGCCCCCCTCTTTTTTTGTTCTCGAAAACTGCGCCATCGATGCAGCCAAGATCGAACTCTGTTAGGCTATGGCGAAGGATACACTGAAGAAAAATGTGCGCCGGAATGAGACGCGGATGCGCATCTTCACGATTGCCGTATTCGTAATCAACGCGGTTTCTATCATTGCTATAATGTACTATCGTGGTTCTGTGCCGCACCTTGTGGACATTGCTGGAGTGACGTTCTGGGCAGGGCAGGAGTACATGGCACTCGCTCTGCTGAAGCGGTTCGCGAAGCCGACATACAGCTCAACAGGGGAGCTGCTTGACTGCCCGGATGCTTCAAATCCCGCGGAGTTGGGCGTGTACTCCTTTGCGCAAGACGTGCTGTGGGTGTGCTGTGCCGTGCAGCTGCTGTGCAGCCTCTTCCACTGGGCCTTTGTGATCTTCTATCTCCCTGTACCCGCCATGGCGATGTACAAGTTGTGGCACCTCCTCGCTCCACTGCTGCTGCTGCGGCGTGGCGCGTCGGCGGTTGGCGAGGGCGATGAGGACAGTGCATTACCGCGCGATCGGATGGAGAGGCGCAGGATGGAGCTGATGCAGCGCAAGAAAAGGTCTACCAAGTAGACACGCATCTGTGTCCGCGTGTGTGTGTGTGTGTGTGTCTGCTGCAGAGGGCGGATTCACACATGCTGTTTGGCATAAATGACTTTAATGCTGACAGAACGGGTTGGGCGATACGAATGCGTTGCTGAGCGACAAAAAACAAATTGACGAGGGAGAGAGAGAGAGAGAGTGAGGGAGAGCTTCGTCTGTGCGTTGTTGCGCCCCGTTGTTATTGCCATGATTTCTCTTGGTTATTTGTCTGCCTGTGAGTCTAAGGGGGTACCGCCCACACCATTACATGAAATACTAACGCTTTGGCTTATATGCGTCTCCTGTGATGTTGGGATTTTGTGCTCTCCCTCTTTGCGGCTTTTTGCTTTCCCTTTTTCTTCGCTTTTCTCTGGGCGGTATATGTAGAGGACCGTGCAAAGCGGGGGACCGTTACAGCCTGCTCCTTTTTCGATCATATACATCTAATATCATTGGCGGAGCAGCCCGTGCGTGTATCTTTTACTCTGTGTGCGTTCTGCGCGTGAACGTCTCTGCGTAGATGGGTGGCGCACAGGCAAAGGAGGCGCTGCGGTATTTTGCTGACGTGGTGAGCAGCGACGCGCACCCCGACGAGAAGGAGTTCACGGAGCGATTGACGCGCTATAAAAAAGACATCTGCTCCAGCTCTGAGTCCTACCGGATGTCGCTACCAGTGCTGCGGCAGTTGGTGCTGCTGTGCGTGCAGAAGCAGCGGGTGCGCTGGCTGCTACGCTACTGCCTGCAAGAGCTCGAGCACGCCTCCTGCAACTGCATCCAGGGCCCCAGCGAGGCGTTCCTCGCCGCGCTGCACATCACGGAGCATGCCGTGCGCTACGCCCACCGTGTCGCCCGCGGGGGCGCTGCGCAGCTGCTGCAGATCATGACGGGCGACGAAGGCAGCGACAGCGGCGCACGCCCGGAGGAGTGGACGACAACGGAGGCGCACAAACTGTGCGTGGCGCTGATGGAGTACTCCGTGTCGGTGCCACTGACGCCGACCACTGTGGAGGCGCACCACGAGATCGTGAGCCTCCTCCTCGCCATGACCTCCTCCGCGCTGTACCACTCAACCACCTACGACGAGAGCCACGTGGACGTTTTCACGGAGATGATGATGGCCTCGGAGGGTCTTACGGCGTTTCTTGCAACACTGCTTAGGCGGCTGGTGGAGTGGGGCGCCGGACGCCTTCCATCCTTCCCCCTTTTGTACCGCGACGGCTACCAACCGTCACTGCGAAACTTGTTTAACGTGTTTGGTAGACGAAATGGAAATCATTCTATCAGTTGCGGGGAAAGTTTAGGACGGCACTGCGCCCAACTACTGGCAGTGCTCGTGGCGCACCAGAAGGGTAATGGACATAATCCCGCACTGGACTATGTAGGTTCCATTCAAGACGGTGAACATATTGAGTTTAAGTTATTGCTAACTGCATTGGTTAGCCGGTTGCAGGTCTGCCCTGCGCTTTGTATTGTGCTGTATGCTTTGGTCTATGATCACCCCACCTTCCTTCACACTGCAATGACTGCATACCCGAAGGAACTCCTGGATGTCGTTCAGGAGGTCCTTCACTTGAGTTACACGGCGGCAACAGATGCTGGGATTGGTATTGCTGAAGCTACTAAAACTTCTGCCCTCGGCCCTGCAACAAGTGAGAGCTGCAAGGTTTCTATAGCGGAGGAGGATCTGTCACCTGAAGCCATCGCAAGTGTTATGCGGGAGATGGTACTCTTCTCGTACCCGTTCATTAGTTTCATGACCAGCACGCTGGTGCTACTCTTTTCGCAGGATCAGGTTCTGAACAAGCACATGAGCGACACTGTTATTGAGCCCCGTTTTAAAATAGCTTATTATGCAGGCAAGCTGCCGATTAGCTCACTTTGTATTGTGGTGCTAGCACACGGCGTTGCCAGAGCTTTGAATGAGAGGAATGAGCCCTTGGCAGCAGTTTTCATACCAAGTTTGTCGAATTTAGCCCCCTTCATTCATGACATTGACGCCTACACCTCCCAACGGCTGCTGAAGCTGCTTCTACTGACGCAGCGAAAGCTGCGGCGCTCAGTAGAACTTGCGAGTCGCAGTGGCAGAAACGCAGCAAGCGGCAAGCACAATAACAACAACAACGAAGATAACAGTAACACGGAAGCCGCTGCAGCTGATATGTTTGTGCGTCAACTGACCGCCCTTGCGGAGGCAGTGGAGGGGATGCTGCATGGCGAGGATCGTCGGAACGATTCCCTCGTGTATGAGCTGCTATACAACCGTGCGAAGCTGGAAGAGGGCATCGCGGCGATTGACGCCTGCTCGCACATCGCAGCCGCACACAATGCACTGCGCCCGCTGTTCCGCATCGTTGATTTCTATGAGACGGAGCTTGCGAGCGTCACGGTAGTGGAATCGTACAACGATATCCTCTCCGTTATCCGCCGTGTGACGCGCGAACACGCAGGCTCAATCGGGGCTCTGCAGAACACCGTATCATCAGCAGCAGCAGCAGCAGCAACACCTGTGCCCGTGAAGGCGGTGGGCGGTGTGGGCTGGCGGGCGCGCGAGATCCTCTTCGTGTATGAGGAGTCTGCGCAGAGTTACGACTTCTTCGGCCCGTTCGTGTGGGCGACACTCCTCGGCGACGCGGTGCACCCTGGCGGAATGATGTGGGCCCTCGACACCGCCTCACTGGCGATGTTCCCGGAGTGACCGCACACACACGCCTTCACATCTACGAACACACAGACACACACAGATACGTGTGCCGGTGGGGTGGAGAAGTGTCCGTGTGTGTATAGATGTGAAGGCGTGCGCATGTGAGTGTGGCCTGTAGAGGCGGGGCACTGAGGTATTAAGAAGGACCAACAGGGAGGGTGAAAGAAAAATAAAAAACGCAAAAAGAGTCACCAATATATATATGGGGAGACACAAAGCAACAGCGAAAAAAAGCAGCCAAATTGCCGAAAAAACAATGATCCACAATAGCAGCGCGGGAATTTTTTCCTTCTGTGCGTTTTGTCGACATGGACACTCATCATCACGCCCTGTTTTTTTTGTTTTGTTTGTCATTTCGTTCTTGCTTAGTGTGGGAGGTCCTGGCTACGAGATGTTTCTCTCGATTCGTGTTCTTTTTGTGCTATTTTTAAAACCCTGCCTTTTTTTTTCTTCACCACGAAGGCTGAGGTCAGAAGAAGAAGCATCAGTGGCAGCAGCGACAAGCACAAGGGGCGAGACGCTGCACGGATGAACAAACGGGCCACGCCGAAGCCCACTGATGCCAGTGCATACTTCTTTCAGCAGCTACTCCCCACAGAGAGGTCCGACACACCGGACACCGAAGGTGGTACTTGCAATGACGCTGGTTTACAGCAGGCGGCCGCGGCGGTGCTGCGCAGTGCCTTTATGCCAGCTGAAGCAACCACTTTGCTGAAGTGTTCCACCGAGGAGGAGAGCTGCACCGCCGATGAGCTGGCTGGCATTTTAGAGGCGTCATGGAAGAGAGTAGAGGAAGTCATGGAGAGAAACAAGGTGCGTCGACGGCGTATCGAGGAGGAGCTGCCGCAGGCCCTTGCGCAGGTTGACGCATACACATTCTGGACGCCAGACAGCGTATCGACGCGTTACGATCTTCCAGCGTCGAAATTATGCGGATCCTTAGTATCTGAAGTGACGGAAGACGATGACACTGCTGCTGCTGCTGCTACAGCGGCGCCAGGGAAGCATCACGCAAAGGCGTGGGGGCGGACGGACAGGGACCTCCTCAACCCCGCTAGATGCCCAAATTGCTTGCGCCGTCTGTTCGCGCCTATCCTGCAGCGACGAGATGAGCTGCCCAAATCGCTTACTCTCTTGTTTAATGCACTACAGCGTGTGCAGTCGGGCACCTTCCCCCAAATCGAAGCGGTGATCGAAAAGGGTTTCTTTGAGTTGCCTCTGTATCGTCCATTTCGGTGTATTTCCTCCTTCATTACCCGGTACCTGGCGGAGGACCTGAAAGGTGAGAAGAGGGGGCAGGCGTTCGCCGGTGTCTACAAACTCGTATCCGGTAAGCTGAAGGACGCACAGGAAAAACTGCGGCAGTTCGGGCACAACAGAGCTGTTAGTGCCTCGCCTTCCCCCCGTGAGGGGGCGGCGGAGCTCCTCTACGGCACGCTGCTGACAGAGTTACGTGAACGGAAGAGTCTCCACGATGGCTGCACCTGCGATCTTCAGGATCTCACTGATGTCGCAACAGAGCAGCTCACGGGAATGGAGAGGGGTCTGCAGGAGTGCGACAGCGAGTCCAGGCGTCTGCTCAGTGAGATTAAACAGGATGCGGAGGAATACGTGGCAGGACTGGAAGCGACCACGGAACGCCGAAAGGCTGTCATGGAAGAAGTCAATGCGGCTTATCAGCGCGATCACGATAGGCTATTTGCCTCCTTGCAGGCAAAACAGTACAGGGCAAAGAAGAGTGAAGAACTGCAGGAAAAACTTGCTCGTCGTGTACGCGAAGCCACTAAAGAGTGGTACGTGGAGCAGCTCAAGTACGATGGACTTGCGCAGGAAATCATCACGGAAAGCGTGACCCTGCAGCAGCTCGATCACAGCTACAAACAACTAAAGGGAGTGCTGGATGAGTGGGCGACCTCAATAGATTCAGAGGAGAAGGCACAGTGGGTGACGGATGTGCTGCAGCAGTCTGAAGAGGTGCGAGCCCACCTCATTACGCAGTGCCAGCAGCACATTGGCCGACTCAAGACAGAAGAGCACTACCGACGCTGTCGCTTGGCTGGCTACGCCACAGAAAACGCATTGAGCTGGTCACGCTGCCTGCAGGACCTCGCCGCAATATACGAGAGCCACTACGACACACTTGCTGAGAAGTGCAACACTTCAATGCAGCTGCGCTACCTTCTCTCTTATGAAAAGGATCATGTGGTGAGAGACCTACACCAGCTGCAGTGTGAGATTATGCAGCTTGACGCCAAGTGGGGCGAGCTGACACCTGTGCTGGAGGAGCTAGACATGCCAGTGCCGGCCCTAACACAATGCGAGAGCGACGCGGCGTGCCAAGAGTTCCGTCGTATCCTTTGCGGGCTTGACAGCAGTCGTCTCATCCGCGGCGAATGTGCTCGTTTGGCGCCGCTACAGCGCGAGGCACAAACCAACGTACCTGTGGAGAAGGATAGTAACAAAGTTGCTGGTGCCGGATGATGACGCTGTTGCGCTACACAGATGCACCCCTCTGCTGGAGCGGTAGGCTGATTGACTGTGACGGCCACGACCGCCGAAATCATGTAAAATCGTGTATGTACGATTGGGGTTCACTTTTTTTTTTTTCTTCCAGTCTTGCTTCCGTGACCTTTGTGCTGGCAAGAGGAGTGATTTATGGTGCTCTTGTGTGCTTCTCACTAATACTGTCTGCTTCTCTTCGCAAAGGGAATAGGGTGCAGCGGCCACACCGAGGGGAGGGGAGAAGAAGGTAGCGGTGGCTGAGGAGACAACGATGCGGCCACCACCACCACCACCACCACCACCACTGCGGTTGTGTGCGGCGCACCCATCCAACCACCTAGTGGTGCAGGAGTTGCTTCTGCACGCCGCGCTGGGCCGGAAACACTTCTTCGTTGGGGATCGGCACGCCTATCTGAAGCTGGCGAAACATATTGCACAACTACCATCTACATGTGCGGCGGCCTTGGCGGATATTTCCTCCCGTCGTGGCCCCGCATGGACACCGTGGCGACAGAATGCGCCTCGCCACGTCGTGTGTGAACGCATCGGCCAGCAGTATCCATACGAGACGAAGCGGGCACCTGTATTCTACGACGACGCGGCGATGCATCAGCAACGCATGGAAGGGCTCCTGCAGCCGCACGGGTTCCGCGTGGCGCTCGTGGGTACGCTGCGCTGCGGGTGCCCAGTGGCCCCGCGGGCGTTGTTTCTGCTGACGCGCGACACCCCGGATAGTAGCTTTCTTACGGAGCAGGACAAGAGCAACAGTAGCAACCCCGACCTTGACACTCATGTGCTCTTCAGACGCGCTGTGAGAGGCCTTGGGGCGACGGGATATATCAAGTCAATTGTCACGAAGAACATCCGAATGTATGGCGGTGTTGTGCCACGCTACGTGTGCGCTGCAGAGCGGCCACACTGCGGCCCCGATCCCTTCTGCTGCAAGTATGATAGCGCACAGGAGCTGGTGCTGTCCTGGGCACCACCGTGTCGCTTTCATGTACGGCGCTTCTTCCTCACCGGCCCGCGGCCATTCGTGGCACACCTTATGCTGCTGGCGCACGTGATGGGCTATGAGTTGATGCACGACGGGCTCTACCGGTGGCCCCACAGCGGCGCGCGTGAGCTGGTTGCACTGCGCAGCGAGAAGGATCTCTTCACGACGTTGCAGATACCGTACGTGGATCCACTTCACCGCCATGCCTATTGCCGCCTTCACAACTTGCTCTAGGCTCCCCTCCCCTTGTTTCACTCTTACAGTTCTTAACATGCTTTCGTGCTTGCTGCACGCTTCTACTTGCACAGATTTACAGATGTATATATATATATATATATATACATATAAAGAGTCAGAGGAGTGCTATACCTCCTTTCTCGCTTCCTTGTCTCCTTTTTTGTATTGCCTTTTTTTGAACAGATAACGTTTCCTGAGCTGTTTTTCATCTCTTGTTTGGGTGAATGAGAACTGTTGGTGCGCCTTGTGGCCCGCCGTTCCTCATGTTTCCACTCAACCGCGTTGCTCCCTTTGTGCACTATCGACTCTCCTCCCCTACGTCCTGCATTCTTTCCCACCAAACACGAACAAAGGCACTTCTTCACGAGAACGGTAATGTCTGTTCAGCCGCACCTGCGCAAGCTGCGCAAGCTCAAGCGCGCGAACCCTTCGGCCGATGAGGACAGCGTTGCCAAGACGCTGTTCGAGCTGGAGGCGACGCACAAGACGCTGCGCACGCAGCTGCCGCGCTTCCACATCAACACCGTCCGCACGCTGACGAGCCCGCGCTTCAAGAAGACGGCGATGGTCATCTTCTACCCCCTTCGGTTCCTGATGCTGGTGCGCAAGGTCCAGCGCACGCTGACCGCGGAGCTCGAGAAGCGCTTCCCTGGCAGCGTCGTGGTGCTCGTCGCGCAGCGCAAGATCACGAAGCGCCCCAACAACGTGTACAAGCTGCAGAAGGTGCAGCGCTCCCGCACGAGCGTGGCGGTGTTCGAGAACATCCTCAACGACCTCATCTACCCGTGCGACGTGGTGGGCCGCCGCTGGCGTTGCCGCACGGACGGCAGCAAGGTGATGAAGGTGTTCCTTGACTCGCGTGACCGCAAGCGTGTGGAGTCTCGCCTCCCCATCATCGCCCACGTCTACAAGCTGCTGACGCACCGCGCCGTCAACTTCGGCTTCATGTGGAACCCGAAGCTCCAGCAGGTGTCCTCCCGGTAGATGACTTGGTATTGAGAGTCCTTCGGCCATCTCTTTTTGTCTTATTTTTAATTTCAAATTTCTTCCTGTTGGCCCCTGCGCGTGTAGGTGCGCGTGCGGTTGTGAGTTGGGTGTGCTGTTTGGTGCCTGTCTGCTGAGATTATGAAGGTGTGTGCGTTTTGTTTCTTTCCCTGTTTTTTTTTGTTTTGCTGTTGGTGTTCTTGCGTTGGTGTCAAGTGAATAAATAGCACAGGTTCAATGTCTTCAGCAGAAGAGCCCGATGTTGTGGTGGCGTTGGACCCAGAAGGAACGGTTGTACTCGGGCTGTGGTACAAGCACGCAGAGCCTACGCGGTGGCTGCTGCTGCGGGCCATTCCTGTTGATGTGACGGTACCGCAGGTGTTGCAGTGCCTCGAGTTCAGGAGCCCACCGCAGCCCACTGGCCGTGGTAGCTCCAACGACAGTATGTGCAAAGACCCGAAGCGCTTTGGCGATGAAGGCTGTCTCCGTGCCGCGCGTGTGGGCTATGTTCCGGGTGAGAAGAGAGCCTACTGCCTGCTGCTGCAGTTCACCGTCCCCATTGACGCGGAACAAATCAAGAAACATTTTTCAAAGACGAAACTAACAAAAGGCGCGGCCACCGTGACGAGGGCCGTGCGGGCCTCTGCCCGGATGTTGCCAGCGCTGCATGTGACCCAATGTGCCGGCAGCGGCGAGGGCCCCGGTCGCGTAGGTGAGGAGGTGGATTTGGAGGCGCTCTGCAGCGTTTCGAGGAGTCTTGTGGCGGGGGAAATGAGTGGAAGTCGTACGCGCCGTGGTGTAGAATGGACCAGTAACGGCAATACCAGCAACAGAAACAGCCCTGTTGCGACAATGGGGGACCCCTGCACCATCTGCCTCGAGGAGATCACCTCGGGCAAGCCATGTATCGTGACTTTGTGCAACCACGTGTTTCACCTGACATGCTACGGCAGATACCTGGAGGATGTCTGCCCGCTGTGCCGCTTTTCGATGGCGTCACTGGAGTCAAAGTGTAACGCGTGCGGCACGTACACGGACCTGTGGACCTGCCTGGTGTGCGGCTGGGTGGGCTGTGGTCAGGGGCACCGTTGTGACCACCTGCGCCACTACGAAAGCACCGGGCACTCATGCGCAATGCAGAGCACCACTTGCCGCATATGGAACCACCGTGCCAAGACGTTCCTGCACCACCAGCTGGCGATAGAGCTCGGGCACGAAGACGACGCGAAGGCGGCTCGTGCAGCAGCAGCAGATGCGTCGACCTCGCACTGCTTCCGCAAGGACGGTGATGATGGCGGTGGTGGTGTGACGGCCTCGACGTACTGGCGCAGCCGTTGGTGGTGGGATGAGAAGGACGAGGAGGCCGCACTTGACCTGAACGGCGAGTACGTACGTGAGTACTACCTGAAGGTGATGCGGCAGCTCATGGAGGAGCAGATTGAGTATTTTGAGCGGCGCACCGGTTTGGAGGCGGAGTCGTCCCCTCCACGTGTGGCGGCGTGGAGGAAGCTGAGCATCGCCGAGCAAAGGCAGCGCCGGCGCGTTGTGTCGGAGTACGTGGCCGGCACGCGCCAAATCGTGCTACATGAACAAATGCTATTCAATCGGTTCGTGAAGAAGGAGGCGATACGAAATGAGAACTTGCGTGATGAGTTGCTGTTGCAGTCACACAGCACGCAAAACCTAAACAATCGAATTGCCAATGCACGGGCGAACATCGACAAAGCCAAGCAGCGTGGTGCACAACAGGTAGCGGCAAAAGAGAACGAGCTCAAAAACCTACAAGAGAAGCTCGCAAATCTGATGAACTCCCTGGATTAATGTAGCCATGTTTTTTTTTTGCTTATATGTTTATTGTTTTGCTCGAGATTGTTGCGTCAAAGCTTTGTATTACGGTGCTGGGGTGGACGGCTATTGCGCAGTTGCCACCGCTGCTGTTGGTGCCACTGGAACCGCGTCTCTATTTGTCTCGTGCAGCAAGCCGAGTGAGACATATTTATATTAAAGGACAAGTCAAGGCCAACGGCACAACATAGAGTCTTCCCACGATGCCACCCAAACACTGGGCGCGGCGGCGAACAGCAGCAGCAGCAGCATCAGGCACCCCGCACCACGCATCCTCGCAGGCTGAGGACTTCACACAGCAGCTGATGGAGGCCATGTCGGTGGCGAACGCATGTGCGGGGCCTGTGCTGCAGCCATCCGAAAGCTCCGAGGAGCACGAGGCTGACGCCACACTGGAGTGCCCAGCCGTGCCGGCTGTCGCTAATGTGGACGACGATGACGACAGCAAGGACACAGTTGCGAACGTGTTGCGGCTGCAGATGAAACACGACAGCCGCTTCCCTGCCGAGCGAAAGCGGTGCCGCGGCGAGACGTCGCCGGATCGCCGACATGAAGTGACAGCAGTACGTCAGCCAACAACGTGCAGCGCGACGGTGAAGCGAGTCACTGTGATGACACCTGCGGAGACCGCACATCGTTCTTCGGTCGGCGACGCGACGCTGAAGGGCGCTGGCAAGAATGACGCTGTGGCCACCGATGCTCAGAAGCGGCAGGAGAGTCTATCGCTGACAGAGGCGGAGGTGCTGCAGCAACATGGCCACTTGTCGCAGCTCAACAACCTTTACCTCCCTTCCACCAGAAGCAGAAGCAGTGACAGAAGCACCGTGGATGATGAAGAGGAAGTAGCGACCGGCAAAGAGGCGTGTGGGGAAGAAGAACGGCTGCGGTGCCGTCGGGAGGAATTGGCCCAGATTCCAGCGGGAAGCCTTGCGTTGTACACGCGTCTGGCGGAATGCGGCGTCAATGCGATGGAGCGGCCGTTCGCCACCTGCGTCGTTAAGCGTGCACAAGACGCCATTGCTGCGTGGGCTGCAGGCTTCTCGTAGCCTCTTCT